GAGAGAGAGAGAGAGAGAGAGAGAGAGAGAGAGAGAGAGAGAGAGAGAGAGAACGGGAGAGTGCAGTGAGGGTGAGAACGAGCGCACGAGGCGACGGCAGGGCGAGAGAGCGGAGCGTGAGAGAGAGAGCGGAGCGAGAGCAGACGAGGAGAGAGAGAGAGAGAGAGCAGAGCGAGAGAGAGAGGACCGCCACCGCTGCCGTCACCGCCGACGCCGCCGCCGACGCAAGGGCTGTCGCCGTAATTGTAAGATCGACCATCTGCTCCAATTATATTTGTGTCGCGCACCGTATCGTATCGTGTCGTGTCTCGTCCGCGGAGTGGTCGCGCAAATAAAGAAGGCTCGCCCGAGGAAAGCGTCCTCGGGCTTCGTGTAACATTTCGCGAATAGTACCGTCTCGCGTATATTGACTATCGGGACGTTTGAGAGTCCCCGAATAAACTTCTCATTATTACTGACATCGAGCCTAGTAATTTCGCTTCCTCCAACCCATCCCGTCTCCGACTTTAATTTAATAGAGCCACCGGTCCCGACGGTTCCGGGACGCGCATCTTTTGTGATAATTATTTATTCTCGCGTTTATCGAGGTGGTGCGGCCTTTCCGTACCTGGCGCCCAACTCTCGCGAAGATCTTAGTGGCGTGTCCGGGAGCCGACGGCAATTTGCCGACGCGGCGAACAGGCGACTGTTCGCCGTCGTTCGCGAAATTCACGTTCGCGAGTACCGTCGCAGTTTGTATGTTTCTTTGTAATGTAGCTTTTATAATGTAGCTTTTTTTTAATATACTTTTAAATATACTTTCTATCACATATACAACATTCATCTCTCTTTAAACATATTCCCATATCCTTATTGTCGATATTTTATGATGTTCATTATTATTTGTGACGAAGGACATGCGACAGAGTAACAAAAGAGATTGATGTTCCAGTGAATTATTCAATGATGCCTCAATGAATTTCGTTCCCTATATTCTAGTTTTAATAAACAGCAATTATTAATGTAATATTTGAACAGAGTAATGATCATTATTTATAGCCTTCATAGCATTAAAACAACATATAGAGTAGTAAGAAGTAACATTTATTTATTATTTATTTATTTATGTAAAAATGTTATAATTGCAAAAATGTGACATCATAATTTATCAGATATAATCTTACATAATGCTTGTTTTCACACATTAACGTATGTATTATGTATATTCACTGATAAAAAAAAGTAATTGTTTGTCATGCTCCGCGGAAAAACATGCACGTGTGTCTATTCCAAATAGCACAAGACAATCCTATGAATATTTTAAGAATATTCTTCAAGAATATTTGGAATATTCCATAGGACATTCGTATATATTCATTGTGTTCGTAGAACATTTTAATGGCACTAATTTAAATATTCTCAGAATGTGATTAGAATAATCTATTGAATATTCTATATATAAAGTTATGAATGTTTATAGAAGATTCCGAAAGAATATGAACAGAACATTTATATTTACGTAAATATAAACATTTATTTAATTTACGTAAATATAAACACTTTTCTTTTTTCCTGACTTTTTCTTAAATTTTTCACTTTATTGTTTCACATGCTACTTAATTCAATTTAAATTGTACTTCGAAAATTTGCTTACTATGCCGGGATTCGAATTTAAGACTTCTGCTTCTTGGGTCGTTCACCTTACCTACTTCTCAACTGTCATTTTAACTCAGAGACGATTTATATTGTATACATATGATAAATTCATGTACGAAAACAAATAATTTATTTAAAAGTAGAAAAAAGATCTTTTTAAATATAAAAAGTATGTGTAATAAGTATGTAAAAAGTGTATTTAAAAAATATTTATTTGTTTTAAAACTAAGTAAAATACAAATAAATCACTTTATACATTTAAATGAATTGTTTTCTGATAATAAAAGAAACTTATTGGAAACAGAAAAAAGATACATTTAATATTACAAAATAATTTCTTTAGATTTATAAAATGATTTGCTTATATTTCATTGCTTATATTTCGTTACTTCTAATGTACTTGTATTTCATTTATTTTAAAAACAAGCAAATATTTATTTAAACACAGATTTACATTAAAAAAAAATTAATTTTCTTCTTGTGTAAGGAAGTCATTTATTTATTCTTATATACTGATATTTTTAAAAAATCAAAGAAATCATTTTTTTATCTAGAAATTCATAATTTTACATCTCATCTTATAAATAAATAAATTACGTTATATTTATAAATTACGTTATATTTATTACATGTGTTCTAAAATCTAACAAATATTTTTTAAGTTAAGAAATTATATTTAACAAAATATATTTCTTTAATTTTTTCAGTGTTCATTACCAATTTAAATTTCGAATTTTATATTTTTTAAAATATACTATATTAATTCTGAAGGACGATAGGAGCCAAATACGCTAGTGTTAACGTTACAAAATAGTAAATTAAATAAATAAATAATAAAATAAAATAAATAAATACAATAAAATAAAAAATTTATTCTTGCGCTACGTTTCGACCATGGGATGTGGTCCTCCTTAGGCGATGTTCAATACAAAATCGTACGATGGTCAGCATATTACAGTCACAAAGTTGTTACAGGAGTTAATATAAGATACGTGTCAAATGCCAACATGCGGTCAATGGACTCATTACATCAATGTTTGTAAGCTATGACAAATATGAAGCAAAATTACAAAAAAAATTTCAAAATTACAAAAAATTACAAAAATAACACAAAAACCTCTCTGTAGGCGCATATGGAATATAATTTACGGTTCTCAATAAGAATAACGATATTACAAATTTGAAAATATAATCTTACTAAAGATGTGAATAAAGGAGAGTTCCAACAACATAACAATCAAAGAGCAGACACATCGATACTAAAATTACGTAAACAATGCTTCATGTTATAAACCGGTTTTATTTTTTAGTTTAATAGTTATAAATAATTACATTAATTTTTTTCATGTATAATAATTGTTAATAATTGTTAATAGAAACATTTACAAAATATTACTACAAATATTTATTCTTTATTTATTATAAGTATTGTATAAAATATTTAGTCTATATTTTAATAATATTTTGAATAAAGATTTTGATACTTTTTTCTTTTATGTGTACTTAAAATATTATTACAAAATTAGTATAATATTTTTTAAAGATAATTCGACAAAAATATTTATGGCTCTTTATCATAAATATTGTGTGGTGTCTGGGTAGTGTGCCAGTTATATGTAATAACAGATTTCTCAGATTTTATTAAGATATGTATTACACCATAAACAATACAATACATAAAATCGATGAATTTTCTAAAATGCTTTGAAACGAGTATTCTAAAATCGTTCTCGAAAAATATTTCACAAACATTCTCGACAAATATTCTACACACTTTCAAAGACTTTCTTATCATGTTCTTTTTCATTATGAAAATATGACTCTAATTATATTATTCTACGTATATTTATTAAACATTCCACTTGAATATTCTGAAATTGAGAATATTCGCATAAAAATATTCATAGAACATTGTGTGCTATATGGGATGATTATATTGCCCCCACCACTAAACACACGTTCGGGTGGTATACTAGTACCTTGCAAAATTAAATATTTTTTAGCAACATATTTTGCATATGGAACAACATTAATATGACTGTTCCACCATAAGAGTGGGTCTCTTTCTAATTGTATTGGCGGCAACATTTAATATAATAATAAATTTCTGAATTTAAAATTGCAGTAAATGTTGTAATGTCCGCAGGTCTGTCCTGTTTTTAGTATTGATGCTAAACATTTTCAATTTTACTTTTCTCCTTTTTTATATCATGCAAATTTATGAACAGATTCATGATGAAGGATGCGTGTTTTTTATATTTCAAGCCTGATATAAAAAATATGCTGATACGAACTTTCTTAGATTCTCCATTTAAGATCAAAATATCTG